TATTTTATATTCTATGCTAATTAGTGACCTCTCAGGACAAAAGGCACATACAAAGGAAGTCACTTATAATAAACTATTTTTCCAAGCCTTACCTAACTGGGAAACAAGTGGCTTCAAAAGGTTAGAGCACCTTCCAGGCCCCGGGGAAACTCCTTGTCAGAGTTACACTTGCTGATGGTGTCCTGTGCTAAGTGCAAGCAAATGCTGTTCGGAAGCTGCCCGGAGGCCGACTCCGGGGATTCCTTCTCCGTCGCAGCTGTGAAGGAGTCTTACCTTTCCTGTCCACAACCACAGAGGCGATTTTAAATCTCTGAAAGCTGCCATACCACTGTATATCACAACACCCACAAGATATGTTGAATAAAGTAGAAAACTTTAAGTGTCTCCTTTAGGATAGAAATAGGATATAAAATAAATCATGATTTAAAAAATTCTAGTGCCCGAATAAGTGCTACATTACACTGGCTGCATTATTATGTTAGACAACTTCATTACCACTTTTCATACCATATATTGTAGTTAGATTTCATTTATCTTTTTTTCTTAAAAAAAATCATATGATGCATTCTTGTGTCAGAGGTGACGAGCAGAGAGCAAGTGTAAAACCGGGAATCGTGATGCTGCTCAGTCTAAGATCGGCTCCGTCACTGCACAGATCATCTTAACTCATTTTACTGCACTTTTTGGAATTACATTCTCACTTGGAAAAACCCCTGTGTCAGTTAGACTTGTTAGTAAAACAATTCTTTTTCTTACCTAGAGCATCAGTGATGTTTTCAGGATGATAACAAAAACTTGCCCATGGCATTTAAACAGTTGCTTGTTCTCGTAATTCATGGCTCACGGTCTCGTATTTGTCACAACTGGAGAACTGTGCTTTCTGTGTGCAAACTCTCACTGCTTTGGTGACGCAGGGACACGTGTCATTACGGGATGGAGTATGATAGTAGTTGTTTGCATTCTCTCCCTTAATCTGGAGTCCTGTGTTATGTTTTCTGTTAACTTAAAAAATATGAAGTTATTTACCTAAATAGCTAACATCGCACCAGTGATGCATATCAAATTGATCCAACTAGGAATTCCAATATTAAATGAGATAGTAATTTCACAACCCACAATTCCAAAAATTTGGATTGATGGTTCAATTATACCAGGGACATTAGCTGTTTTAATTGAATCAATCATTGTTTTCTTCAATAAAAGTTTCCATTCCATCTGCCCTTTTGGTTTATTGTTCTTCAGAAATTCATTTGCATTCTTTCCCAAATATATATGATTTTGGCTTTTGTCATTGAAAATTATTGCTGGTTTTGCTGCCTCATGCTGGAGAGGAAGCCTTGTGACTGTTCTATAGTCACTGATTTCATGGTTGTATGAATGCTTAATGCCACCTTGCAGGGGTGTACAGACCTAATGAAGTGTGTACATAAAAGGCTTATTCTACACTGAGTGCAGGGTTAGTGTGAGCAGCCCACATCATCAGTATCATAATTAATCCATTACAGTCATCCTCTGTTAATCAGTGTTATCCTTCTAACGTCTCCAGGAGAGGAAATGTAGTATTCTCAATGCAAATTTTGCCAAACTTTTAGTCAATTCAACACCTTTAAAGCTTTGCTGTCAATAGGTCTGTGTGCCTGGTATCCCTACTTTTGCTTCTCCTGACCCAGGAAGTGGTCTCCTCGGCTGATGATCCACGAGACACTGGATTCTTGGTACCATACCTCTGTGTGTTCTGGGACATCTGGGGACTTCAGCACTGTTTTAGGGGCTTTGTGTCCCACCTCTTCATAGCATTGCTGAAATGAGATCTGTGGGTTCACCCTGATTCTTGAGTGAACGGTGCATTTTTTCTAGAACCAACACAAGCCAGCGTGGCAGCACTGCTTTGACCACGTGCTGGGACAGCGTGTGCTTGTCAGTTCTTGGGTTTAAAATTTTCTGTACTAATTTCTAAAATGGGGTATATTGACAAATACACTCTATGTAAACAGAAGCTCTGTGGGGTTTTCAGCAACTTCTAAGAGCATAAGTACTCCTGAAGCAGCTAACCTTCCTCCCAAGAAGTGAGGAGCAAGCCTGCAAGTCCTGGGTGCCTGTGGCGGCCAAGCTCTGCTGCCCAGGCTGCTCACTGAGGCGCAAGGAGTAAAACTTAAAAACCTACTTCCATGTTGTGTTTCACAGAATCTCAGACCTGAACGTTTTAATATTTAAAGAGAGGTGATTATTTTTTAATAAATTATTTTATTTTTTCCTTTCTCAGTATTATTAGGTAGAATTATTACAGTTCAACTCCACATACACATATTGCATGTAAATACATGTATAGAGTATACTGCATTTTTTAGTTTACATATATGTACTAATTATTGTTTCTAGGAACAGATTAGAGCTTTAGATTTTTAAACTTACATAGTTACCAGAGGAATAAAGCAAACTACAAAAGAATAATAAACAGAATATGGTAATCCAATCACAAAGGACAGTCAGATATGCTTACACATATTCAAGAAAGCAAAATAATAGTTCATTGGCTGTCTTATTATTATTGTTATTAAATTTAGATTCCTCATAAATGAAGTCATATGGCATTATTCTTTCTCTTTCCACCGCACTTCACTTAGAATGACAGTCTTCAGGTCCATCCATGTTGCTGCAAATGGCATCTTTTATGGCTGAGTAGTATTCCATTGTAGATATGTATCACCTCCTCTTTATCCAGTCATGTGCTGATGGACATTTGTGTTGTTTCCATGTTTCTTTTTCTATGTCCCTTCTGGCAGCAATTACTGATTTTAAATATTTTCCACCTTAAAATCCTTTCTGAAGGATATGTGGTAACAGGAATCAAAAACAGTTTCAGCACAGGGTTGTGTGTGATGGGCCCTGGGGGCTTTGTAGGAAGGTTTCCAGAAAGGATTTCAGATTCTGATCAAACGATTCCTCCTATTGTAGCCCTGCTGACCGCCTCTCTCACTGCCTGCCCTACAAGTCTGACCAGTCCCTTCTGTGAATCCCACTGTATTATGCACAAATTTTGTCCAAATGGTGTCAACCCGTAGGGACCTTCGGTGAGGCACCTAAGCTCCTGTGTTGGTTTCTTCCATCAGCCCTTAACTTCCTTGGGAGCCAGGACTGTCTCATTGCCCCAAGGATCCCAAATGCCTAGTGAGAAGCCTGATACAGCTGGTACTTAACGAGCACAAGGGTCAAATGGAAAAACGTGATCAAAGGAAAGACCCTCATTTTTCAGACATGCCTACTTGAGTACATAGGGTAAAACGACATGTCTTCTGGGATTTGCTGTCAAATACTTCAACAAAGTACAAGGCAAAGAACAAAGGTCTGAATAAAGGAAATACGGAAAAGTCTGTGAATTCCTTAATCTGGGTGATGGGCTTATTGTACTATTCTTATTGATGCATACTTTAGTTATTTTATAATTTTACTATCATTAGCTGAAGAGCAAGTATTAATACATATTAACTGAAATCCTCAGAGCTGACCAAATTTACCCCACACAAAATCCTTAATGTCCTAGTAGTCTGTCTTACAGAAATCTTTTCCCACAAAGACAAGGAAAAGGGGAGACAGATCCGTGCAGTATTTCCACGTTGTCAAGAGACCAAAGACCGACACAAAATAAGAGATTAGAAAAAAGATAAAGAGGCTGAAATCAATGTCCTGAAAACCTAGCCAAGAATTCTAAATGGCCCAACTTAACTAACCTCAGCACTGCCGCATCAAGAATGGGTCAAATAGCACCTAGTGGATTTTTTTTTTAAATAAATAAATAACGATCCAGTTCCTACCACAGGCAATTATGATAAGACTGAGTATAAATCCTAACACCAAATAGTGTACAAATTATAATTACTACTTGATTCAAACTGCTTCTTCTTTAAAATCTGAATCCTTTTATTCTTAAGACATATTTGTGGCATATGACCTAGTGATAAAATTTTCAACCGGCTTGTATACAAAAAGTTCACCAATGTGAGAGTTTATTACATCAACTATTGCTTTTTGGGAAACCCATGTGCCTTGTCACTCTCTTTCATAAGATTTCCTGTGGAAAATTCAATCCATCATTCAGGAAAGGGCTGAACAATCGGTCTGATGGAAAACCTTCATACACTGCAACACAAGAAAATGAAAATGACTGTGAGCAGCCCGTGAAGCCGGCAGACACACACAGCGCATGGCTGTGTTCCCGCCTCGACTTTCTGTAACCAGCAGGGAAAAGGTGCATCTCAAGAAATAGTCATAAACACGTTTCAGGACCTGAGCACACAATTTCCCTTTCCGGGTTTAGTGGGCTTCCATTTAATTCTATGAGAAGTGTTTAAAACAACAGAAAAACAGCTGAGATAGGGTTTAAAGTAACTTTTACGTCTTAGTGAAAATAAAGCCAGCTGACAGTTATCATTTTTAGGTTATTTGATCTCACTCTCCTACTTTACCTCTTCAACCACCTCCATAAAAAAACAGTGAACGTCCCCTCCTGGGTCAGAAGGCTAAGTAGAAAGTATCAATCACATGGAGGTGTGCTTTGTTGTTTTATTTTTCAAAAGAAACCTGTTTCATTCATGTGACTTAATAATTAAGATAAAGAAACAAACTCTATTCAATAAATATTAGCCAACACATGTCGTCATAGCTGCTCATCAGGTTTGGCCCCATGTTACACACATTTACATGGACATCTGCCATTTGCTGTCATGGGACATGGTGAGTGGGGACAGGGTCTCTGCTCTCACAGGGCACACAGCCTGGTGGGGGGGCGGTGTTCAATCATTGCCGTTTTTTTAATGTACTTACAAATAATGGGAAATGCTATTTAAAAAGAACAAAATGAGTCAATGAAAGAGAAAAATACAAGGACTGTATTTAGGCTGAGGGAAGACAGGGAACCCCTTCGAAGGGCTGACACTCCACTGAGACCCAAAGGACAACGCCGGTGCTGCAGGTGAAGGGCAGGGACACACTGAAAGAGGGCTGATATCCAGAATATACCCAAATCTCTTTAAACTCAACAAGAAGAATGAATAACCTGATTAAAAAATGAGCAAAATGCCTGAACGCACACCTCATCATAGAAGGAATCTAGATGCCAAAGAAGTCTATGGAAACATGCTCCACAGCATCTGTCATCAAGGGGATGCAAACTGAAACTGCGAGGTACCACTGCACACCTGTCAGAACTGCCAAAACGCAGAACACTGACAGCACCGAATGCTGGTGAGGATGTGGAGCGACAGGAATCCTCATGTATTGCTGGTGGGAATGTAAAATGGCCCAGACACTTTGGAAGACGATT